TCATTGAACATTTGGGCCTGGAAGGGGGGGGGGGTAATTCAAAGGTCAAAGTCTAGGTCAACGTCTAAGGAAGCCTATGCCTAGTGCCCTACTGTCTACACCTATTGAATAAGAACCCGTGCCTTTGGATATAACTCGGAGGTATGAAAGCCTGATCCTATGGAGAGGTCTTTTAAAAAAGGGGGGTCGGTCATTTTTGGTGCCAGATTTTCAGTGCGGGATTTTTAGTGTGGGACAGTCAGGGACAATTGATCACTGGACATTTGGTCCTGGAACAATTGATCATTGGGACAATTGATCAATGGGACATTTGGTCACTGGGACATTTGGTCACTGGGACATTTGGTCACTGGGACATTTGGTCACTGGGACGATTGATCATTGGACATTTGGTCACTGGGACAATTGATCATTGGGACAATTGATCACTTGACAATTGATCATTGGGACAATTGATCATTGAACATTTGGGCCTGGAAGGGGGGGGGGGTAATTCAAAGGTCAAAGTCTAGGTCAACGTCTAAGGAAGCCTATGCCTAGTGCCCTACTGTCTACACCTATTGAATAAGAACCCGTGCCTTTGGATATAACTCGGAGGTATGAAAGCCTGATCCTATGGAGAGGTCTTTTAAAAAAGGGGGGTCGGTCATTTTTGGTGCCAGATTTTCAGTGCGGGATTTTTAGTGTGGGACAGTCAGGGACAATTGATCACTGGACATTTGGTCCTGGAACAATTGATCATTGGGACAATTGATCAATGGGACATTTGGTCACTGGGACATTTGGTCACTGGGACATTTGGTCACTGGGACATTTGGTCACTGGGACGATTGATCATTGGACATTTGGTCACTGGGACAATTGATCATTGGGACAATTGATCACTTGACAATTGATCATTGGGACAATTGATCATTGAACATTTGGGCCTGGAAGGGGGGGGGGTAATTCAAAGGTCAAAGTCTAGGTCAACGTCTAAGGAAGCCTATGCCTAGTGCCCTACTGTCTACACCTATTGAATAAGAACCCGTGCCTTTGGATATAACTCGGAGGTATGAAAGCCTGGTCTGGAATTCATCTGGGAGTTTGTTCTAAAAAAGTCTGAATTTTTAGAAAAAAGAGGTTGTTTTTTTGGATTGTTTTGGAGTTTAGGAGTATCTGAAGCTCTCGGAGCTTGGAAGAGTTGGGTAAACCCGGGGTAGGGAGAGGTGGGCCCACCCAAACCCATTTTTAACCAACAAAAAAAATTATGTGATAAAAAATTCCACTTGTAAAGAAAAGGCCTTTTTGCTTTCTTCTAAACGAATCCGCATAAATCCTTTTTTTACAAGTGGCTTAATTGTGCTTTTCCGTTTTTCCATCTAAGAATCCTGCTGTTTTAAAACATTTTGTACTTGAAAAAAATAAAACAAAAAAAATTCGACGCAAACGGAAAAGCACTAAAAAATAATAAAAAACATATTATATTCAAATATCTTTTAGACCTCAAAATGTGGCGGAAGCATCTTTGCCACATTTTTAGCTTCTCTCATCCTTGTAATTCATCATCAATTTGTTGCAGTCCAATGATCATCAAGAACACTTCTCACAACACTTCTATACACTTCTTCAGTACTTCTTGTTTGTAGCTGCTGATGTTTCAGAGCCGACAGCCATACATGTACCAGGATTGTTTGTTGCTCGCTCCAGCATCATCTATGTACATAATACCTTTAAAATTAAAAATGCAAAATTTAGAGGAATTATTATGAGAATTAATCCATCTATTTCCTCCTAACCCCGCGATACCCGCATATCACTCCTCATCCGCTGATATCCTTCCTAATTCATCCGATGTCCCGACGAAATATTCATTTCCTTGTCACCAGGAGACAGGAGAAACTAGAAAATGCCGACCCCCTTCCACCTACCGTTCAATGCCCCAGTACAGGTGAGAAATTTAAAAAATATTTCTCATTGCAAAGAATAAAAAAGAGAAAATATCATACCAGCTCCAGCTCAAAGCATTCCACCAGGCATACCTCCAGGCATTCCAGCACATCCCGCAGATTGATAAAGGTTCGAGATGATCGGATTGCAAATAGCTTCCAATTCCTTGTGATGATGCTCAAATCCTTCCTTCTCAGCAGTCTGGTTGGCGTCTAACCAAGAGAGCGTTTCCTATCATTTGTCCAAAACCTTCTTCTTATCGTCCTCGCTAATCTTATCCTTGAGCTGAAAATTTTTTTGCAAAATTAAAGTTTCCCTTATTATGGACCCTGCCGGATTCAAAAAACGAAGGACCCAAATTCAATCAATCCCCCAACAAAAGACAACCCAGTAGTGCTCCCAAGTCACCCCAAAACAGTAAATCCAGCCCCAGCTCATCACTGCTCCAATCCTCCCAACAGAACCCTCCACCCTATCCCCAAACAAAACATCCAATCCCTTAACACGAAAACCCATCCCTAAGACACCAAAGCCCAGCTTTATCCCTCAAAATCAACAAACCTTATCTTCCTCAATTGTCTTCTTGATGTTAGAGCAGTAAGACTCAAGTCCATTCTTAGCCGAAACACGATCACGCTGAATTTCATCCTCGCCACGATATTTCTCAGCCTCATGGACCATACGCTCAATCTCATCTTAGGAAAGAAGTCCCTTGTCATTAGTGATGGTGATCTTGTTTTGCTTTCCAGTCGATTTGTCTTGCGCAGAAACATTCAAAATTCCATTGGCGTCAATTTCAAAAGTGACTTCGATTTGAGGAACACCACGAGGAGCAGGAGAAATTCCACTCATCTCAAACTTGGCCAACAAGTTGTTGTCCTTAGTCATAGCACGTTCACCTTCATAGATCTTTAAAAAATTTCAAAATTTTCCAAAAAATTTTCAAAATTTTTTCCAACCTGAATAAGAACACCAGGCTGGTTGTCAGAATAGGTAGTGAACGTTTGAGAAGTCTTGGTTGGAATAGTCGTGTTTCTCTTGATTAACGGAGTCATGACACCTCCAGCAGTTTCAATTCCCAACGAGAGTGGGACAACGTCCAAAAGAAGAAGATCCTTTGAAAAAAAATTTTTTCAAGTTTTCCCTTCCAAAAACCCCCCAAAAAATATACCTGAACATTCTCAGACTTATCGCCAGACAAAATTGCAGCCTGAACTGCAGCTCCATAGGCGACAGCTTCGTCCGGGTTGATGCTCATGTTAAGTTCTTTGCCAGAAAAGAAGTCAGACAGAAGCTTCTGGACTTTTGGATTTCGATTCGAGCCTCCAACCAAAACAATGTCATGAATCTGAGACTTGTCCATCTTAGCATCACGAATTGATTTCTCAACTGGATCCATAGTACTGCGGAACAAATCGGCGCAAAGCTCTTCAAAACGTGCTCGAGTGATGTTGGTGTAGAAATCGATTCCATCAAAGAGAGAGTCAATCTCAATGCTAAAATCAATTCAAGTTAAGGCCAAAAAAAAATTTTTCAAAAATAACCTCGCTTGAGTAGAGCTAGACAAAGTCCTCTTAGCACGTTCACAAACAGTACGAAGACGACGGAGAGCACGAGGATTGGTGGCAAGGTCCTTCTTGTGCTTACGTTTGAACTCAGCAACAAAATGGTTGACCTTTAAAAAAATATTTTCAGTTGAGAAAGCCTCAAAAACTCCAAACCATTCGATTGTCAAAGTCTTCGCCTCCAAGGTGAGTGTCTCCAGCAGTCGACTTAACCTCAAAAATACCATCTTCAATAGTCAAGATTGACACATCAAACGTTCCACCGCCCAAGTCAAAAATCAGAACATTTCGCTCGCCTTGACCCTTCTTATCCAAACCATAAGCAATGGCCGCAGCAGTTGGCTCGTTAATGATACGCAAAACATTAAGTCCAGAAATCGTTCCAGCATCCTTTGTGGCTTGGCGTTGACTGTCGTTGAAGTACGCAGGCACAGTGATGACAGCGTCTTTAACGGTTTGTCCCAAAAACGCCTCAGCCGTTTCCTTCATTTTAGTCAAAACCATGGCGGAGACTTCCTTAAAAACCAGAAAATTGAACTCAAACCAAATAAAATCCAAATCAAACCTCAGGGAAGAACGCCTTCATTTCTCCTTTAACCTCCACTTGGATTTTTGGATGAGCACCTTCTCCTTGGATAACCTTGGACGGCCGATGTTTCATGTCCGATTGAAATGCAGGGTCATCGAATTTACGACCAATCAAGCGTTTCGCGTCTGAAAATGATTTTTGACTTGTTTATCAAAAATAAAAGAAAATACCAACAGTGTTCGACGGATTCATTGCCACCTGATTTTTAGCAGCGTCACCAATCAGACGTTGTGTCCGTGAAAGCCACATAAGATGGAGTTGAGCGATTTTCTGAAGAAATAAAGTTAGAACGCGTAACCTCGTCGAGAAAACAAACCTTGATCATTAGCAATGATTTCATCTTTTCCATGCTGGAATACACCGACACAGGAATAAGTTGTTTCCAGATCAATTCCGACAGCGTTAGCTTTAGACATTTTTAAAAGATTTTTTTAATGATAGCTGAAAAACAAGAAAAGTTTAGACGATTAGGATTTTTTAGAAGTTTAGGTTAGTCAGATAGCGCTCATGTTAAAATATGAAAATGGTGTAATTACATATGTAAAACATAAAAATCAATCAAATCTGCGAAAAAGGTAAAAGGTCATTAACAATAACAACTAGAAAATGAAAATCTCCGAAAACTAATGAAAATCGATAAGTGACGCCAAATGAATTTGAACTAAATATCAACGCAAATTAATTCTGTTAATTTAATTTTGGAAAATGTCAAAGTGTCATTTGTTGTTATTCTGTCAATTACTCGAAAAAATGGAGTAAAAAATTTTCAGAGCCTAAAGAATTTCAAAATTTCGTTTAGGTAGATTTTTTGAAAAATAGTTGAGATGTACCCATCTCAGGAAAGACCCAAAGAGTCGTGATACCCGCATTTCTACTTCTTATTTTTTAATTTTTGAAAATTAATAATTGCTTTTTAGATGGTTAACAAAAGAAAATTTACTGAAGTTAAATCTACATTTTCTATAAATGAATGTTTCAATTCTTTTAAAAGGCCACGCACCGATTCTTTTAAAAAATCGAATTTTATTGATCAATTTAATCAGTTTCGCTCAACACTCTGTTCTGATGAGGAAATTGACATTAATTTGTTCAAAAGACTTTATGATTTTTTTCAAAAGAATATTTACAATGTATGTTTACTTTATAGTAACTTTTTATAATCTTTTTTTAATTTTAGTCGAAATTTATCTCTCAAATTGGTCCACTTTGTGATATTATGTTTGTTACTAATTTACTGAGTTGTTATAATTGCACTCTGAATCAAACCGACTTATTAATTTTTGATATTTTGGTGTTACTGGAAAATAAATTGAATGTCAATTTAAGGTTTTTTACATTTAAATTTCATTATTCTAATTTTAAAGTTTGATATCTCCTCTTGTTTTTGGTAAATCTTCCAAAAAATATTATAATGATTTAATTTTTTATGGAAATATTTTACATAAAAAATTGACTCCTGAACAGGTTTTTTTGTTTTCTTTACGATATTATTTTTAATCGTGATCTTTTTTATTATTGTGTTTAAATTTATGTTAATTTAAATTTTTAAAGGTTTTAGAATATTTTGACCAAAAAGTTATGTGGGATACTTTAACAAAAATGACTAGGTTTCATCATAAAAAGACAAAAAGAAATCGAAGAGTAATTAAGGCTGACGAAAAATGTTATGATCCACGCTTTGTTTTGCGTTCCCTTTTACAAATAGTGGAAATGGATCTAAAGGTTGTTTCATTTTTTTACTTTTTTGGACAATTATTTTTTAAATACCCAGTTCAATTGTAAAATTATGATATCTTCAAATGCTCTATCGTTTTGCTTTGCCTCAACAAGCTTTTACGATTCTACTCTTCGATCACTTGCTTATACTGTTTTACAAAATTTTCAAAAAAGATTAAAGCAACAGAATGAACATTTTCGGCAAAAACTTCTTTTTGGATTTTTTATCGATTTTTTCAAAAATAGTATTCTTACAGTAAATCAGAAGGCATGTCAATGTAAGAATAGTTCAATAAATTTCATTATATTAATGTTTGGGTTTACTTGACAAAAATTTAAAAAATCAAACTCCAATTATGTATAATGAGGATTTTGTCATGTAAACCTAAATAATAACCAACATTTTAAATATTAATTTTTTTATTTTCAGTTGCCAGTCAATTCTTTGCCAGATATTCAAAAATAGCCTTAACACCAACAAATCCATTGTATTCACCTTTAACTTCTTTTTTCATTCAAAAACCTTTTATGGATTTAGAATCTGTTCCGGAATTTTCAAAATTATTTTTTAGTTCATCTTCAGAAAATTGTAGAGAAGAGAGGCGTTGGATGCTTAGACTTATTGATGATTCTATTCTTGATTTTAATGATTATCAAATATTGGGAAAAATGTAAGAAAAGAAGGAATTTTTTTTATCTATTCAATGAATCCGTCCCTGAAGACCTACAACTTTTGAAAGTGAATATTTATCGAGGAATTAAGGAGATATCGATAGATTTAATGTGATTCAGGGGGATAAAGATTTCTACACCCAGTGTTATTGTATACAATCATAATACCACACCATAGATTCTAAAATACTGGACTTGGTACTTGCATATAGTTAATATAATCCTCGATATAAAGGTTGTATGCAGGTCTTCAGAGTCAATAGCCTGACCTTTATTTAAACTTTATTCTAAAAAAATTTTTTAGTTATGCAATAGAATCATTTATGGGTATGTTCTGTACTCCAATGGCAGATTTATGGAATAAATTAATTTTACTAAAAATTTTTCGTTCTTATGTTGAACTTCAAGCAAAAGATTTGTTTACGCGGTTGGATTTTGATACTTGGTTAACAAATGCAATTTATGTAATTAATTACCGCTTTTAATTTTCTTTTTTTTTATTTTTTAGCATTCAAGAACAACAATAAAAGAGAAGCTCGAATTAACTTCAATTTTTAATGAGCTAGTTAATCATTTAAAAAAAGGCTTTTTTGATCATTCAAAGATAGAGAAAAATGAAAATAAATTAAATGTTAATCTTGAAAGAAGAAAACAACTTTTATTAACTAAATTAAAAATAAATAAACAAAAGGTTTTTAATTTTATCATGGATTTTAAATTTAATTTATCTTTAGATAGTTGAATATTTAAGAACTAATTTATGTTTTGATATCGAAAATGATGTAAGAAGAAGAGACGAAATTGTTTTAGAATTATTAGATAATGAATTATTTAAGTGAAACAGAAATTGTTCATTTTTTACATTATTTTTTGTTACTCTACATATTTATGTTATTGTTGTCTTAATTTTAAAAATAAAGTTTATTCTTAATTAATCACATCGAATTGACCACCCTTGAATATAAATTCCCTCCTTACAATGTCAATGATTCGGTGGCATTTTGCAAGGTAAATCATTCATAAGAGAAAACAGGATTTTAATAATCTAAAGCTCAACATGACAAAATATTTAAAGAAAACACGAGAGAAAAACTAGTATGGGTGTTAATTGCGGATATATTAGTGATATGCCCAAGGGGTGATAAAACTGAAAAGCTATTTTCTTTTATTGTCTGATACTAATTTGATTTTAGAGAAATTTGTTTTTTGTCTCCGGTTTTGTATCTAGAATATGTAGTTTATAAGTTGTTAGGAGGTTGGGACTTTAAAAATTTATGATTTGAAAATATTTTTGAATACCAATTCAACACTAGTTCTAAAGTAGGATGACAGATTTACGTCTAAGAAACATGTAAGCACGTAATGTAAAGACTAACTAATGGGTTGTCAGATAAATAATGAGCCCTTTGCGCATTTTTAGTCTTTTTTATATAAAGGTATTCGAATTCTAGTTAGAATTATTTTAAATTTACTAGAGTCGATAGTTCCAGCTTTTTTCTACTAGCCAGAACCATTTAAAAAATAAATTTTTATTTTTGCAGTTTTTTAAAAATTTTTTAAAATTATGTCCTCAAAATCTGAAATTCGGGATGTTATTTTGTTTTGCTTCAAACGCGGTCTAGGTACAACTCAATCCAAAAAAGAAAATGCCGCCTTGAAGGGCACAAGTTGGGCATCTTTTGCATCAATTAAGCGATGTTACAAAAAATTCCGTGATGGAGATATGGGTCTAGAAGCCAAAATCCCCAAATTTGGGCTAAATTTGGGATTTTACACTGGGAATTAACTCCTAAGGGCAATGGATTGCCGGGCGAACTCTAAAAAACAATATTGGACATAGTTCAGATTGCCATCGATGGTTTAACGTTCGTTATGATAAAGTTGTCTTTCAACAGGTAACTGCACACTTGCGTCGCGCGAACGCAACTCGAGCCTACATCACGGAGACACTCGGATGGGAACTTTTAGTTGATCCTCCTTTTTCTACGGATAATGCGCCGTCTAACTAGCAGTTATTTCGTTAGATGAAAATTATTTGCGGGAGGTGAGGTTCCAATACAATGCTCAACTCTAAAATTGGGTTGCCAACTTTCTTAATACCAAATCTGCAACTAAATTTTATCAAATGGGAATTCAAAAACTGCCAGGCAATAGGCAAGAAGTGATAGATAATAATGGACATTAAATTATTTTTTGATTTCATTTCATTATTCAGTTATAGTAAATTGTATAATTTATGCGCAAAGGGCTCATTATTTATCTGACAACCCATTACATATATCACAGAGTAAAAATGTGATACCGAGAAATAGCAATCTTTTCAAAAGTCGCTTAATTTATTCAAATTTAATTAAAAATAATCAGCTGATATGTAGAAGCTGTAGTATTTTAAATTTAATAATGAATCCTTTTAAGTATACAAAAAATAGCTAAGGACAATAATATATCTTTATGAGCATTTTGATCATTTTTAACAACAAATATAAATGTATTGCTAATTTTTTTGTTGGCAGGAAGGAGAACAAAATAAAACTCGAGCGTCTAATTGTTAGGTCAATTGTTCAAAACTTATAACTATTAATATAAGATCAGTTAATTTTCTCGATTTGATTCATTTAAAGGTTATAAGTTTTAAACATTGCTGAGATGGTACAATCTAAAGTGTGTCCAAATAAAAGCAAAAAGATAAACTTTTAACGTCGAGTTCCATCTTCGAAGAAGACTCCACCATCTATTGCACAATATTTTGGGCAGATTCCCTTCTCTCCTGGTGTTCCTGCCTGTCCAATTGGTCCTGGAGGGCCAGGTGTTCCATCTGATCCTGGCGATCCTTCTGGTCCTTGTTCTCCTTTTGGTCCTGGAGGTCCAAGAGGCCCATCAGCACCTGGTGGTCCTGGAGGTCCAGGTGGACCAGGGGCGCCTAAATAACAATAAAAAATTTTTGTTAATTTTGATTTGAATTTTACCAATATCTCCAGGCTCTCCAGGTTCTCCTGGTACGGGTGCTTCAGGTGTAGCTGGTGTTCCAGGTTCACCAGGGGGTCCTTGCGGTCCAGGCTCTCCAGGTGGTCCTGGCGGCCCTCGTGGACCAGGTTCGCCATTTGGTGCATCAGTTCCAGGTCTGCCAGGTGTTCCGGCCTCACCAGGCTCTCCAGGTGGTCCAGGGGGTCCTGGAGGGCCGGGCGGTCCTTGTGGGCATGGTTTGCATGGTGGTGGTGTTGCTGGTTCGCATGGAGAGACTGGCGGTTTGCCCGGCGTGCCAGGCGTCCCAGGAGCTCCAGGTTTTCCTGGCTTTCCACTCTTTCCAGGTGGGCCTTGAGGTCCAGGTTGGCCAGGTAGACAACAGTCTCCACATGTAGGTGGCGCGTTCACTACAGGAGCATATCCACCAGCTTGACGTGCTGTTCGATTTTTGGCACCCCCCATTTCTGCAGTTTTCATGTGTGCTACTTCGACATAAATATCTTTTGCTGAACCCTGTTAAAATGTTTAAATTAATTTGAGTTAATTTTTAATTAAAGTTAATCCTGAGATTGTTGAGTAACATTGGTTGGGAAAATGTTTTAATCCTTGTATGTATAATAATAAAAAAAATAATAACGGTAAATAATTTTTAAAAAAAATAATTTTTATTTTTTTAAAAAAAATAAAAAAAATACATAACGGCTAAAAACTTGTAAAATAGAAATTATTGACACGGTTAGAATCAGAATTATCTAGAAATTAATCAGAGTCCAGCCAGAAAAGTCAGAATTTAAGTTAGAAACATGCCTTGCAAAAGCCCAATTCATGCTGCATTTGTCTCCGTACATGAGCTACATAATTATAAACCATTGGTAGAGTGATTACAACAGAGAGGACAGCAACTACGGAAAAAGCAACAGCCGAATAGGCCACAAATTTGTAAGCCTTGATTCTGCTATCTGTTTCGACCATCCCTCTTTCAACTTAAATTTTACGGATTTACTAGTTGGAAATTGAAAAATTATTTATAAAACAAAGCAACAAAATAAATAATTGGCCTAATTTAATATTTTAATAAAACTGAAAAGCTGATTTATAGCAAACTAGTAGGCTTTAAGGAAAATAAATTAATTTTTGAATAAATTTTGAAGTTTCTTAAGAGGAAATTGTAAATAAAAAATTTTAAAAAGCTTTGGAATAATTTATTAATTGACTGAAATATGTAACTAAAAATAAATCCATCTTTATTTTTAGCTATTATTAGCTTCATCTCTATTAAAAATGAATAAAACAAAATAGCGCAAAAATAGACTTCATCTTCTGCTAAATAGGTCCGTAAATCGAGCGGGTTAAGTACTGCCTTTGGGCGAACAAAAAGAGTGATGATGGGCGTTTAATAGTTGTTAGTAGTACGCCATCGGCCAGCTTTAACTTTTTTAGCTTATTTACAAACAAGTTACTACTATTCTTAAGTTGTCCAGCAACGAACAAGAAAAAAATACGATAAACGTTAGCGATTAATAGAAAGAAGGAAGCGGTTTTGAAGAAATTGGAGGAAGAGATATTGGTAATGATGAAAGGAGGAAGATGAAGAAAGGAAGGAAAAAATATCAGGATCATATGGTTTTGGAGTGGTTTTTTGGAGGGAAAAGTAGGATTGAGTGGCGTGGGAGGAAGTTGACAAAAAGCATCGGAAAAGCATAGAAAAAAAAGTCAACTGCTCCCTCTTTCTATTTCTCTCCATATATCTTCGGGAAGTACGGCAACAAAAGGAAATCAACGAGGGAAAAAATAAAAAGAAGCAACTTCCTCTATGCAGAAATTAACCAAATCACCTCCAAACGCCGATAACCATCAATGTTATTTTATCTTTCAAAAACTCTTCTCGGCCAAAACTTTATAAAAAATTTTGTTCTGTCAATCTCTTCTTCTTAATTATATATTTATATATTATTGTGGTTTTCTCAAAAATTCTTTTAAAGCTGGTCATCTATGCGGGTGATGGAGCAGTTAGTTGGAGAGATAAAAAGAAAATCTCGTTATTTATAAGAATTTATCTAAAAAATATTCGTGTGGGCTTAATATAAATAAATATCTCTCTGATGAACACGAATTGACATTAGACAATAAAAATGTGATAAAATGGAGGAAATATTAATTGTATGAATTGTATTTAAAAGTAAATTAATTTTTATCTTATTTGATTATTATGGCAGAAATTGATCAATTTATTTGAAAATTTAAAAAAGAAACAAATTGTTTCGTGAACAGACAATTGTGTTAGATCAAATAAATAGACTGATAAAATTTAGTAAAAAATTTAGAATATACATATACATATTAAAGAAATTATAGAAAATAAACTTAAAATTAAAAAATTAAATAACTTGAGAATTATAATAATACAATTAATACAATATTTAGAGCTTGTTTTTTTTATTTTTTATTATCCTTTCCTATTATCCTAATGACAATTCATTTTAATAAAACAATTAATTTTTAATACATATTCACTAATAATTGGCCACTAGACAAAATATAGATATAAATTAGCTTGATAAAAATTTATATAAAAAATTACTAATTTAGTAAAACAGGATTTTCATTATACATATACTATCTAAACAAGAAAGAAAATAAATAACTGTACATATGCATTGTGTATCATATATTGCAATCACAAAAGACAACATAAGCGGGAAAATCTTAAAACTCAAAATTCATAATCGAAGTTTCACTGCCCCTCTGCTCCATTCTGGAACTTAGCCACGAAATGTTCATGTTTAATTTATGTTAGTTGAGGAAAAAATGATAAATGTTAAATAATTCATCAATAAATATAGAAATTTTCCTAATTTTAACAAAAAAATATTCT